CACCCCACACACCAGGCCTTGTTAGCACATAGCCTGCCACTACACACCCCCTGTTGTTAGTCACTAACAGTCCCCATTAACAACTATTCACTCTCCCAGCATGATCATTAGCAACTCCTTTGTCTGTCCAACTGTCTTTCTCTCTCTTTGGGCTCTATCCTATCGTTTACTCCCTACCCCACCCACCTCCCTATTTTCTGCATATAAACTGATGTTTTCCCAGCCATCAGCAGTTCTGAGGAAGGATCACCGGACCCGAAATGTTAACTCTGTTTTCTCCTCCACAGATGCTGCTAGACCTGCTGAGCTTTTCCAGCAACTTTGTTTTTGTCCTTGAGAGGAAGCATCCATCCTTTACTTAACATTTCCCAGGTTGGGCTGTTTTGAGAAATTGAGGGGCTAAGGGATCTAAAATGGTACAAATGTAGTTGTACCCTTCCATTAAGCTACTGAATACTTGTACCACTGTTAATAACTCTAGAATCAGAATCTGTTTTAATCCTGGCAAGTAACAACACAAAACAGCAACAGTGATACTAGAAGTCTTGTTTTCTTGTTAATTTTTTTTTAAAGTGATGACTTAATCACTCAAAAGCTTATTACAGTGATGTGTATCTTGCTCAGCACTCACCCGTTGGAAGTCATGGATGATATCGGCAGCGTCACCACCTTTGAACTGGGGCACAGGGACATTGATCAACTCCACTTTATCTTCCAGGTAAATTTTTACATCCTCTTCCAGTTGCATCCCAGTTCTGAATGGTGCATAGGCTGAGTCTTCATCATACAGTACCCTGCAGTGAAACATATTCTCCTGTGGGTGCTAGTTAAAAAGAGGAAATAATTAAAATTTTACATCTTCAAGACAGTTGACAGCTATAAATATTACAGAAATTCACTTTAGAGTGTCTGTCATTTGCTTTCTAAATTAAAATGTTGAAGGCATTATTCCACATAACCCTTCCCTTATTTTATTGACACTGTACATAATTAACCGTTTAGTATCCCATCTAGTCTACCAATGTAGACTTATGTATTACGCAACTCCCTGGTTTTTAAAAGACATGTCGCTTAGTCAAGAATGGCCAGTGCTCTGACAGATCAAGACCCCATTCCAATTTGCATGTGCAAACTCCTGAGAACAAGATATTTTTACATGTGGAGGAAATTTGGACTTCTGGCCTGAATTTTAAAAGGCAATTTCAGTTACTCTAAGGAAGAGTGATATCACTGTTGGAAACATTCATTTTATTGGTAAATAGCAACGGAAGCAAGCTTTTATATTAAAGTAAATCAGGTGGGGTGTAAAACATGTGGCCGGTCAGACCCTTGATTTGCCATCAGTCAGTTGGGGGTAAAATTGTCTCCAGTCTGTTAGCAGGTCAACAAATACACAACATACAGAATCCTTGAGTCAGGCAGTATTTCCACAGATGGCTGGAAACTTGCTGACCTCACAGATGCTCTATAATCTGCTCATGAATTCCACGAGATCTACAAACGTCATTTGAAACACCCTTTTCTCTAAGGTGGGAGATTTCAAGACTAGGGGCCATATTTTTAAGGTGAAAGGAGAAGGATTTAAAAAAGACAGGAGGGGCATTTTTTGTTTTACACAGAGACTGGTTTGTGCGTGCATGAACTTCCAGAGAAAGTGGTGGATGCAGGTAAAGCTACAATGTTTAAAAGACATTTGGATAAATACAGAAAGGGTTGAAGTGATATTGGCCAAGCGCAGGCAGACGAGGTTAGTTTAGTTTGGGATTACCGTCAGCACCAACTGGTTGGACTGAAGTGTCTGTTTCTTTGCTGTATGACTCTATAACAACCTTTATGATAAATCAAAATTCTAGTTTTAAATCAATTTGTAGCAGGTAATCGTTCACAGTTCAAACCAGCACATAATTCAGCAAGTACTGGCAATTAGTCCATTCCATTAGAGATAGCATACAGAAACAGGTAAAGGAGCTGGAGATGTCACAATGGTACAGGAGCTGGAGCTCTTTTAAATCGCATACCTGGCTGAAATTTTCACATTCTCCTACCCATTGGTAAGATTCCAAACGAAAGATTTTAAAACCTTGAAATGCATGGCAAAAGCAAGAAAATCTCCTCACTGTTCTGCTACTTTGTGATATCTATATCGCAACACTATTTTGTTGTTCTTGTGCGCAATTTGGTTGTTCAAATGTAAAAACTGCAGCAGTAACCACACTTCAAAAGTACTTAATTAACTAAACCATTTTGGATGGGAGACCACACCTAGAGTACTCCAGAGACTTCTGGTTTACATACTGAATGAAGGATATACTTGTATTAGAAGCAATTCACAGAAGAGGGCGGTTGCTAACCATTTTAACTCCCCCTCTCACTTCCTTGATGACGTGTCCTTTCTGGGCCTCCTCCTGTGCCACAATGATGCCACCCGCAAACTGGAGGAGTAACACCTCATATTCCGCCTCGGGAGCCTACAGCCTCATCCCATGTCCAATCCTCCCTCTCATCCCTGCATCCTTGACCTAACACTACCTGTGAATCTTCTTCCCCACCTATGTTCCCCACCCTTCCCAATGACCAATCCCCAATACCCCTCACTGCATCCACCTATTGCCATCCCGACTACCTTCTACCAGCCCCACTCCTCCTCCTTCTATTTAATTCCCAGCTCTCTTCCTTCTCCCCGGTCCTGATGAAGGGTCCAGACCTGAAACGTTGACTCTCCTACTGCTCTGATGCTGCTTGACCTGCTGTGTTCCTCCAGCTCCACACTGTATTGACCCCGCAGTTCACAGAAGGTTCACTGATTTGATTCCCAAGAAGTGGCCTTGTCTTCTGAGGAAATGTTGACCTGGTTAGGCTTATAGGGATTGGTATTTAGAATAATCAGAGGTGATTTTACTAATAATTTTATTGGGAGGGGCTTAACAGGGTGGATGCTGACAGGATGTTTCCCCTACCTGGGAGGCATCTATTACCGGTAGGCAGGGACAAACGTGGCACCATTTCTAAAGGAGCATCCTATTTCAGACTGCGATGAGGAGGAATTTCTTCTCTCAGAGGGTTTTAATCATGTGAATATAGTGCCTCTGATAGCAGTGAGGCTGCATGTCTATATATTCAATGGTTGAGTTAGACAGATTTACATATCAGTCAAGGGTAATGACAGAAGGTTCCAATCAGAGCAGCCAGGATTTATTGCCAGGCTTCAGGGGCTAACCAGTCTCCTTCTTCTCTTCTTTCCTATATTCTTATTTCTTCCTCCAAAAAAATGTTAAGGTCAAGTTTATCCTTTTGCATTTCAGAGAAATAGAGCCTCAAAGATAGATGTACAAGTTGAAATTTTCAGGAAATTCAGTCAAAAAACAATGACGTTATCTGTGCTAATTTGGATATATGGACAACACTTTGTTTATCTGACCTAAGAGCTCAATGTAACTCTAACAATATATAATTCCCTTTGGAATTTACATAATACCAGTTCCCTTACCTCCCTGAAGCTTCGTACATTAAAACAAACACTAATCCAAGAAAATACTGCTTAATAACTGCAGCCAAGCAACAACACGATTAAACTGCTGGTATACAAATCTGACTTGCAAACGTATGATGTATCTTTTGTACTGTCAGCTAGATAAAGTGTTTAAAATAACTTACCTCAGTACCATTCCATTTTTGGACTTGATAGTTGTAACTAATCAATTCAGAATTTTTGATTTTGGTTACATCTGACCAGAGAAGCCATGTGCAATAACAAAAAGCAATACTTCACGAAAACTACAATTTGGTGGAGTGCTTACTTTTAAACCAGCCTGAAGTCAAATCACTCTGGCAATGACACAATGATTTTACAGATCTTCTATCTGCTTGCTCATTCAAAGTAGACATGATCAGACTTGATTTGGTGTAAAAACTGGTCTGACCCAACCCAACCAGTGCAATTACTTTCAGCCCCTCAACCCTTCCAGGTATCTGTATGTTATGATATTAATTGACTGTGTATGAACGTGAGTATTAGATACCATATGGCACTCCGATCAGATACTGTAAGGTACATGTTGTATTACATACAAGGTCACCTGACTTGGAACTGGAAGGTCAGATTTTATATTTTAGATGTTAGTCAAACTGAGTAGAGATTAAATGATGTTAAATAATGCTAAATCTGTGACTTCAAGTGTTGCACTTTCAGCCTAAGATGTGATAACGGCAATGAGAATAATTAGAGAAGTTTAGGATTGTGTCATGACATTTAGTGTGAATTTGCCACCCAATGGTGTTTTACCTGATGCAGCTATGATTCTAGAGTCATACAGCATGGAAACAGATCCTTTGGTCCAACCAGTCCATGCTGAACATAATCCCAAACTAAACTAGTCCCACCTGCCTGTTCCTAGCCCATATCCCTCCAAACCTTTCCTATTCATGTACTTACCCAAGTGTCTTTTAAATGTTGTAACTGTTCCCACATTCACCACTTCCTTAGGAAGTTCATTCCACATCCAAACCACCCTGAGTTAAATTATCCCTCGTAACATAAGAAACTTTTTGTAGATATTGTTGTTTTGAAGAAATCAACAACTACTGCAACAATTATGCAAAACTTTACATTATACAGGTACACAAGTGTCAGGGCTAACAAGGGCACTATTACAAGCAGTCCGCAAGTTGTGAATGGGGACTGTTCTTCATTCTGTTCACATGTTAATACATACACAAGTTGTAACACACTGCAGGACAATGTAAAGTAGCTGTTTCTAAGTACAAAAAACAATCATAAGTTGGATCTTTAAAATTACACCTTTACATGGGACTGTGATTGTAAATACGTATATTCCTGAGTCAAACATTTATAAATTAGTGACCCCTTGCAGTCTACAATACAAGAGCAGGATTCCAGTGGAATGTTGTGCCCTCAGCTGATCCAAAATAAGATGAAGCCTGAGATCTTTATACCTTCAGGTCACACACTATAATGTAGTGAGGGTATTATGAACAAGTTTTATCGATAGCTGACAGACTGACTCTGAGAAATTATACAATGTCATTTGCTGGCATTGATAGGTCTGCAGTCAAGGAATCGAGCTGTTTGATTTGACAGCACCATCAGCATGAAATGGAGTGGTGGCTAGAGGAGGTTGAAATGCCTGCTGACAGTTGCAGTCTATTTTTGGGTGGGGTTACAGTGGTGCAGAAAACACAGTGAGGGAGATTACTACTGTTCAATGCGTGTGTTTTCTCTAACAAGAGGGGTTAAAAAAAGGCAGTTTATGAATGCACAATGAACGATTTGAAGAACAATTATGTGGTGACATACGATAGTGTATCATGTGGTCCAACATTATACGTCAGGTAAGGTGAAGTGTTAGCTGCTGGAAAGAGAAGGTGACTGATCATTGGATGACACCACAGTGGTTCAAATAGCTATAGACGTAAACATCACTGACTCACTCTCATGAAGACTGAAAAAGCATTAGGCACACAGAACCTCAGTACAGAAGGAAACAAAATTGTTCTTGCTGTTTCTGGCAGTTCATGTTACATCCAGAGAAACAGAGAGACAGACAAACATCCAGAATTGGATGACATCCAACATAGAATCCAAGCTGGAAATTGGAAGAATAGCGTATTCGATGTGTACAGAGCCATTTGAAATAGTGGGCACACAGCACACTTCTGTCATACTGCAGATGCTTAGATCTAGACTGGTGACACTAGCTCAGAGGATCACTTGGGATTGGCTGATGGTAATCAAATCTGAAGAGCAAAGTAAGGTGGCAATGGATAGAGAAATATGTAGAACATTTTGTCAAAACATATCTTGGATGTCAACTTGTCAGCAGACCCAATTCACCAGAACCAGTGCACAGCATGGGAAGATGTGACAGTTGATTTCTTAGGCCTACTTCCATCAGGAGAGTCCATTCTAGTGGTGATCAACCCATTACTATGAGCATGTTGTGATGAAGTCTACAACAGCAGAAAAAAAGTGTTTGCACTGACTGAAATATTTTCAAGCCAAAATCTACCACACCCTCTGCATTTAGACAATAAGCCACAATTCATTTCACAGACTATTTCTGCAGATTACATTGAAGTCACAGACATTCATTATCCCAGAGTAGCCCCTAAATGGCCAAGAAAAAATGGTGTAACAACAAATCCAATCCTTAGGAGAACTGGGTGTGGATCGCTCAAGCTGAGGGCAAAGATTGCAAAGAATCATTGCAACTGTATCTGGCCATGTCTGGAGCAGCCTTAGACCATGATGGAAAACAGGCAGATGAGCTGCTATTTTGATGCCAGTGGAACACAAAGAAGCCACAGTTGAGGGGCATTGGTGTTCATCAGACAGTCCAAACTCATGATGCTGAGAAAAGAGTGCTACATTTATTTTTAGGCACAAGACAGAAGAGAAACTAGGCATTCTGATGAGAAGTTCTGCTAAGATGGGAGAATCCAAGTAGACAGATACAACACAATACACAAGTCTTACACCGCCATCACCAAGAAGGGAAATAGTGTGACTGTGCAGTTGCCAGAGCAGTATTTCTGTGACAGAAATTCTGCATGTGTCCATGGTGACACGGGCACAGCAACAGATGAACCAAGTATTCAGGGTGAGACAAAGCTGATGCTCAGCAATTTAGACATCCAAGTCAGTGATGCTGATGTCAGGCAGACAGCTCAATTGTTCACATGGGAAAAGCATCAGTTCCAAAGGGGATGAGGTCAATGCCTAACTTGGTATGATAACCAAAGTTCATGAGACAAGGGGCAGACAAAGGCACAAGAGGAAACCACCATAGTGATTTGAAGATTTTGTCCAATTTAGTAACAGAACTTGAAATTGGAAATCAATTTGCAGTTTAAAGCAGTGATTTTAAGTTGATAAACGATAAGTCTCGACACTACTTATGTGTCTAATTGTAGGTTTTGTGTTACCTCAAAATAAAAACGCCACGCAATGAAGGCTGCCCTTGAGATTTTGACATGTGATATATGCAAAGTACACGAGAAAGCAATTGGATTGAATTACTGATGAGCATTGAATTCCACTCATATTTATCATACATTATGCCACGATTAAATAGCAAAAGGGAAGCCAGAAACTCAATTCACAGGAAAGGAAGTCAGAAAGAGGAACGACAGTTTCAGACAGTGAAATACCAAATAAAAGATTAAAACTATATTGGATTACAATGCACTGAATTTACCTAACATGTAATTGAAGGAATTACTCAATGAGTCAGGAAAATAATGGTTTGTTAAGTTCACTTATCAAATTTAACATATTATGTTTAGAGAGGGAAGCAGTCTAAGCCAATAGAAGGCAGTCTATATCCCAGCCAAAAATGAAGAAGGAAAATTTGACTGAAATATATGTATCATGCTCAAATTTGTAAAGTTATGAAAAAACTTGAATGTTATTTAAGTGATTTAAATATATTACTAGATTTTGAAAATGTACATAATTCTTGGAAAGTTGTGATGCAGAATGATGCAAGTTCAGACAAAATATAAGAAAAACACTCTTTTTGAATTTGCCTCACTTGCAATCACACCCTGCCGTTGCTGGTCACTGACTGAATTTGAAGTACTTAATCTACCAGGTGTGATCGCCTCCTGAAACAAAGCATCCAGGTTCTTCTCCCCTCCCAGATGTACCGCAGTGTTTGAAGCCCAGATTCCAGCTCATTTTATTAAAATTCAAAATAAACTCACTTATAAGTAAAACATAATGTGCGTTTCCATTCTGTAATTACTGACTTCTTCATCAAATAAATGCAGTAGACTAAGAGCCTCCAAGGATACTGTTCCAGCTCTCCCGCCGCCCCCTCCCCCCCACCCCCACACACACATTTTGTCTGGAAATACAATAATTCTTCTCACTCTTCTCAGTTGCAATGTTTCGCATTGCAGAATTCAAGTTCAGTTCAGGACATAGAATGTGTGTGCGGTTGTGCTGTATTCCCAGAGATAGTGCTTACTGTTAGGATATCACAACTAAGAGAACTGTTAAAAGAGGAATCTGATGAATAAAGAATTCCATCTGCTGGTACATTGTGTATCTCATATCTTTATGAAAAATCACTACAAGCATGAGAAATCTTTTATAAGTCTCCCAAGTGGTTTAAAATAGAAGCAAATTATTGTATAAGGAAATGTGCATCATTACAGAAGCTGTTGATGAAAATTTTAAAGTTTTTGGTGTGCTATACAACATGGGAAAAATTAATGTCAACTATTTTTTATTTAAACATTTCAATTCTTCAAATATACTGCAGATGACTTCGATGGAAAACATAATGAAATTATTTCAAATCTTTCCACATGCAGTACTGTTAAATTGCCCAGAGACCTCATCAGCAGTAATAGAATCCTGGATATACATACTTTTCTAGTGGTTTTATGATTGATAGAATTGTATCCAATTCTGAAAGCACTAATCATGGCTGCAACCTCTGAGGCCTTACTGCTTGCAAAGTTGCAACAGGCTCAGATCTTCAAGTTATTTTTTGTTTCTAATTGTGTTTTTAATTGATCAATCTATACTTCCACAAAATGGTACAAACCCAGCAAATGTAAAACAGCCATCTTCATCTGTTGGTAATTTCTGATCAAATTTTTAAAATCAAAGAATTAGAGAATTAGGGAGTACATTTAACAAATCAGTTAGCACTAACTGATATCTTTCAACTTTGCTCTGCTTACAATGTAAACACCATTAAAAATTGAGATGTCGTTGCAAGACATTGACTTGTTTGCCAACAAATGAAGAACAGTCAAATTTAAACCAGTGTTATTTAAAATGAAAATTACAAAAATAACTCTGCTTTTTCCAAATAATTAATGACATGCTAATAGAATTTAGGTATGCCCTTCTTACCCTTAAGAGAAATTTCAACTCTAACGTAAATCAGCTATCATGTTTTGCAAAGTGAAATCTAGTTACAGATGTAGATAATAATGAGAACACAAACACTTCCAACAGAAGGTTTAATTATAAATATATTCCTTTAGAAGAGAATAGTTCGGGTACATACAGCACCAGTCTCTCTGATCATTATTAAACTTGCACTTAACTAAAAGCAAGCAATTTTCAACTGTGCCATGTTGGAAATAGATACACTATCAATCTACCATTTTGTTTCCCAGCATGAATGGCACAGTTGGAAAATGAGAAAAGCTTTATTTCTCAATGTCACAGAATGTTGTTGCAAAAATCTATTTGAATTTGTTGTCTTGTTTTATTATAACCAAATTTTGTTTTCCTACTTTGAGAAACATTACATTTTAAATCAATAAAATGTATACTATACCCGAGCAACAAAGTAATACTTGTAGACGTAGACTGTCCCCAAGATCAATCCAGAAAGAAGAATAACCAATCCGAGTGTCAGACACCAGAAGCCACTAACAGTAGACTTTCGAGTTCTTGCTGGGACAGTATCCACATCCTGAAAAGGAAACAAATGCATTATTAGGAATTAAAGGTCATTTCTGTATAAAATATTTTGGTTATTGGTGGCTTAGGATTATGGCAAGGAGCCTCATTAGTCACATATAAACTTTTACTCCACACTTTCCAGTAAATTGATCCTATTTTATAATGTTAAAAGCATCAGGTGTTATTGAGTCATGCAGCATAGAAATGGACCCTTCGGTCCAACTAAGCCACGCCAACCAAGTTCCCGAACTAAACTAGTCCCATTAGCCTGTATCAGGCCCATATCCCTCCAAACCGTTCCTATTTATGTACTTATCCAAATGTCTTTTAAAAGTCATAACCTAACCTGCATCCACCACTTCTTCTGGCAGTTCACTTCACATATGAACCACTATCTTAAAAAGTTGCCCCTTGTGTCCTTTTTAAATCTTTCTTCTCTCACCTTAAAAATATGTCCCCTTATTTTGAACTACCCCATCATAGGAAAAAGAACTTTGCTTCTCTATGCCCCCCATGATTTTATAAACCTCTAGAAGGTCGTCCTTCAATTATTTGCACGTGTCCTCCATAATTCTTGATACCCTTAGCTGTGAACATTTCCAAACGCCTCGCCTTCAAGGTCTCTGGGGAAGGGAGTGCTAAAGGTTAACAATGTTCGGGGAAGAAATTCCTCATCTCTGTCTTAAATGGGAAATCTCTGATTTTTAAACTTTGAGTCTTGGTTTTTCTCAAGAGTCTACTCAATCAAACCTCCTCAGAATCCTAAATGTTCCAATGAGATACATTTTTCCTAAACCCCAATGAGAAGAGACACACTGGCTCAACCTTTTGTTATAAGGCAACCCGCTCACACCAGGAATCATCCTCTCTCCAGTTCAAGTACACCCCTCCTTATGTAAAGTGGCCAAAAATATAGACAGTTATTACTCTAAGCGTAGTCTCATTAATGCCCTATACTGTTGTAGAAAGCCTTCCCTACATTCATACGCCATCTCCCCTGCAAAAATGGCCAACGTTCAATGTTGCATTCCTAATTACTTGCTGAACCTGCATCCTACCATCTTGTAATTCATGTGCAAGACTGCCCATAATCCCCTGTACTACTGCATCCTACTTTTTAAATAGTTTTATTTTTTCTAATCTTCCTGCCAAAGTGGACATCATCACATTTTTCCTTTTTTATTCCCCAACTGCCAAATTCTTCTCCACTCACACAGCCTAATTTTATCCCTTTGTAGACTCTTTGTATCCTCCTTGCGACTTGCTTTTCTACCTTTGCATAATCAGAAAATCTGGCCACAGTTCCTCTGCCCCTTCATCTTGCCCAAGGCAGATTGGAAATAATTGTGCCCTACAGTTACAGTTTGCCAACCAACAAATAATGCAACTTATCCCGATTATCTAATTCTGTTAGCCAATCTTCTATACTTTCTAATATGTCACCTCAATAAGTGAGTTCTCATCTAGTACAGTAACCTGTTAGGTAACACCCCCATCAACTACCATTTGAAAATCCAAATACTTTTGGTTCTCCTTTATCCATCTAAATGAATTTGTTTCATGATTTGTTCAAGAATGCATCATTCTAAGTAACTGACCACAATACATTCTATGAATTCATCCATTAGGCAATGTTTGCCAGTTTCATTTATCAAATCCATATGAAGATTTAAATCACACAGATTATTGCAGTACCTCCCTTTCAAACTCCCAGTTTTCCTTGTTTATAGTTTGTCCTACAGAGTGGCTATTGCCAGTGGCCTATAAACCATTCCAATCATTGTTGTCTATCCTTTGTTATTTTTTATCTCCACCCAAACTGAATCCATATTTTGATCATCTGAACTCAGATCATTTCTCACTATTGCATAGAACTCATCACTGACTAACAAATCATTTCACCTCATTTGCTTTTCTTCCTTTTCTTGCTAAATGTCAAGTACACATGACTATTCAGATTCAACTGTGTCACTTTGCAAACGTGTCTCTGCAATAGCTATCATATCATTCTCACTTATTTCAAACAGTACTACCAATCCATCTATTTTGATGTGAATGCTACATGAATTCAAATAGAAAGCTCTGATTCTATCTTTTTACCACTCTTCTATAAGCAGACTTTATTTACCGGTTCTCTCTAAAGCTTGCAAACTTCAACTTTTCCTGTCACACTTTGGTAACCATTAATCATAATAACTATCTTGCATTATCATCTTGTCTTTTATCTTTAAGTTTCCAAATTTGCTTTCACATAACTGTGTAAACAAACCCACAATTTTACATCTCTCTCTGCAGCCTTAGTTACAAACTTCACCAAGATAACGTGCCCAGCAATGTTCATGTGAAGACCAGTTTTGCTGCTTCGTGTGGCTTGAACTGACATTTCCCCGACATTAATCTTTGAGCCACTCATTCAAGTCTCTGATCTTATTTACACCAATTTCCTCCTAGATCTATGGCCATGCAGGCAGACATCAGAGAAATTTGTTGTTTCCCCTCGTTTACATGATTGCAACATTTCTTGTGCCTGAGCCTGCTCTGCTGGCTGCTTGAGCACTCAGCAGGAGACTGAATAACAGGAACTGATATCATTTGGTGCAACAAGCCTGCTCTTCTTAAAAGGGAACTGCATTGATTGAAAAGGAGCTGCTGTAGACTGTCTGCTTGCAGCAGTCGCACAAATAGGACCCTGGCAAAGAAAGGGTTCCTAAGTCGATGCATGTAACACTGGGGTTATGGTGGTTGACAGCACAAGGAAGACCATGTTCCTCCCTGAGGCTCAGGAGACTATAAAAGACAAAGACCCTCAGAAGGGAATGAGAGCAACTGGTAAAGAGAACGTAACCAGGTGTCTGGTGTTGAGGACCTAGCAGCAGTACTGCAAGAATTTCAGATTAGTTATGCCAGCGGTCAAGGTCAATTACTGATCTACAGTGGACAATTCTCATCCACCACATATCATCAGCCTCAGCACTCAATGCGATACATCCCAGTCAGTATTCATCCCTCAAGACTGAGGCCTAACTTTCAGATACACCATGTCACCCAAGCTCCTGCTGTTTAAACATATCTGCAGCTATCCATCTGATGCAGGTGTATCATCCAATACAATACAACACAATCACAAATATTTTACCTCCTCTCTCTCTCACAGCTGAAAGTAGCCTATAACCACCAAAACAGACCAGAACCATCAGAATACAAGGACAACTGCACCTCTTGAGATCTACAGAGGAGTTGCAGCAAGATGCATGGCATTCAGCATCAGTGGGAGCACTGAAGATGAAAGTATTCTGCTGCCTAAAATCTTCTTCCAAATCCTGCCTCACCGTGAGCCTGCTGATTAGAGGCCATGGTGGGATTTTATTTACCGGTTCTCTCTAAAGCTTGCAAACTTTACCTTTTCCTGTCACACTTTGGTAACCATTAATCATAATAACTATTTTGCATTATCATCTTGTCTTTTATCTTTAAGTTTCCAAATTTCCTTTCACATAACTGTGCAAACAAACCACAATTTTACATCTCTCTCTGCAGCCTTAACCAGGATTGCTTAACCAGGAACCAATCAATGTAGGTCAGCAAGCAGGGGAATGATGGGTGATTAGAACTTGTTGGGGGTAAGGACGCAGGCAGCAGAGATTTGGATAGCTTCAAGCTGACAAGAGAGTAGAATGTTGGTGGCTGGCCAGGATTGCGTTAAAATAGTCAATTCTCAAGCTAAAAAAGGTGTGTAAATGAGCATAAATTCTGCAGCAGATTAGCCAAGGCAGGGCCAGAGTCAGGCAATGTTACAAAGGTAGAAATAGATGGTTTTAACAATGGTATTCAGAACCTCATCTCAGAGTTACTTAAAATACCAAAGCTGCAAACAGTAATGCTCAGGCAGAAAGATGCTAACATGAGAGACAATGTAAATTGCTAGGCGATTGAGGTCATAGAGGGGATTGAAAACCACAACTTAGTTTCCCCAGTGTTTAAATAGATGGGATGTCAGTACTTCAAGTACTGGATTGTCAGACAAGCAGTTTGATCATTTTGACACAACAGAGGAGTTGAGAGGTTGCTGTGAGGATTGACATCATTCTGGCCAATTGGAAAGCTGTCAATGCATTTATGATATGCCCATGTGAATGTTTTTTCAGGCACTGGATGTCACATGTGCCATGCTAATGGCACAGCTCACCCACTTAAGGCCCTTTGGCTTCCAATGAAGCAACTCTGGATACATCGTAAAGCCCAATTTCTCAGACTAATAGACATGAATTAAAGCTAGAAAATAAAGTACTCTCCCTCCACATACACATAATTGTGATTATGTTGGATAGCTAACTTTTTAAGAATGATTTATATTGCCTGCACTTTTTTAACCAAATTCTGAATGATAGAAAATGCTTCTTTTGTTGCTTGGGCAACAGATGACTCACCAATGAAATGGAAGTCAATGTTTTTTAAGAATAGATTCTGGATGTTAACATCTGCTTAGGTGCCTCCCTCAGAAGACATAATTTACACTAATGTTTCAAGAATTTATAGTAATGAGAATCACAGTGCTCCACAGAATGTTTTATTTACATACAGCAGTATAGTTAAAATTGTTTGCCTAAAATATCACTATGCATATATACCAAAATATTGGAAAAACAGCAAATTGCAATTCAGCACATTCCAAGCTGGAAACTGATAATAAAGCTTACTGGTTTACAAAGAATGTATGAATGCAGCAGAGAACCAGAGATGCACAAATTCACAGATATAAAGACAATAAATGGTCAGAATTCCCTGTCATTACTAGGTAAAACTCACAGGAACTTGCGCCATCCACACACGTGCTGGTAAAAATATGGAAATTCAGAAGTTATTACCATTATTTCCCCTGTTTCGTTGGCATACTGGTATAGGTTTTGCTGATCTAATTAATCGAGAATGAGTGATTTTGATTTTCAACAATTCCCACTGGAAGAACCACTAAAAATGCTATGCCTTGTTAAGATGTCATTTTTTTCTAAAGGAGCATAAACTTAATCATTTTTGAACAACCTCTCTCATTCATTCACAATAACATTTATAAAGCCATGGTTTTTAAAGATGAAAAATATATACGTATCATTTGATTTGAAGTTTTGATATTTCAGTTTTTAATCTAAATCCCATGTCTATGTTCTCATCTTTATTTTGTTTTCAAGGGATTTAAAATCTGTGACATTTACTTCATAGTTTGCTGTCTGTGAGAATTCTTCAAGCTGATTGGTTGATTATCCAGCTTAATCACTTCACACTGATGTTGGACACCAGAGATCCCCTATAGATGTTTTGAGATTCAAGGCCACATTAGCTGTAGTGAACTTGACCTTTTAGTCTAATAAAATTTTGTGGTGAGCTTTTGTTGAAATTGGCAGTAAGCACAATTTCTTCACCATTGCTTGCAAGTTTCAGACCAAGAAGTACACCAGTATTGTACCGAGAGTTGATCATTTTTGGGATTTCATGTAAAATTGTACCTGATAAGTAATACTACCACATTCTGAATCCATCTCACTAAACATTAGAGAAATTATCTCCAGGAATGTTGTCAAACTCCCCCCACATTGCCATGGTAACCAGGGGAATGTCTTTTCACATGAGCAGGTTGTCAGCCAATGTTATCATTATGGGGGAAAGAGAAACTTCAAGAAAATGCATTCTTGTGTTAATAAGATGTCTAAATGCATAGTTATACAACCAACTGCTTCTGAAGGACAATAAATAAATTGGACAGGAGCCTAGAGTAGCTTCACAAGAAAAGTGTGTCATTGTTATTGAAGCCAATGTGTTTGAGCATCTGATCTGACTGTCATCTGTTCAAGCATCCGACCAGCTTGTAAGCAATGGGAATCTAACAGCATGGGGTGAAGGCTGCTGGCAATCTCCAACACCCTACAATGGTAGGTTGTATTGTATATCTATTTATTTTAACTTGCTAAAATAAATGCAGGATATTTCCCAAGTTCACGTTAACCCCAAGACTAGAATTATTGTTACGTTCAAACATAGTGTCATGGAGTTATTATGGTGCAGGAGACTGCCATTCAGCCCACTGAACCCATGCCTGCTCTCTCAGTTCCAATTCCATGCTCCATCTCCACTGACCTGCAAGTTTATTTCTCTGAAGTACCAATTCAAATTCCTTTCAAAATCATTGGTCATCACCACTTCCACAACAGTCATAGATAGCAAGTTCCAGGTCATTGTCACCTACTGCGTAAAAATGTTCTCACATTATGTCTACATCTCTTGCACAAAATCTAACATTCAGTCTTTGTACCATCAGCTAATGGGAACAACTTTTATTTGTCTAACTTATTTAAATCAGTAATAATCTTATATACCTCTTTCATATCTCCTCTCAAACTCTTATGTCTCCAAGGAGAACAGTCACCAACTTGGCCAAGCTTCTCTGGCCCATTTTATAGCTAAAAGTCTCAGCAAATCACCTCAGCATCCTCTCACGGGCTATCTGAAATTGTGAAGACCAGACTTGATGCAAAACTCTAACAAAGAATCAGCATAAGTTTCCTGGTTTCATTTACAAAGCCCAAGGTTTAAATGCTTGGTTAACTACTCTTTCAATATGGCCTGCCAGTTTCAAGGGACTATGTATGTGAATCTCCAAATTCTTTGGTCCCTGCACACTTACACTTAAGTATATATTGCTTTTTCTTGTCCCTTCTGCTAAAATACAGTAACTCACACTTCTCAGGATTAAATTTCACCTGCCACTTGCCCAGTCATTATTCAAACTTACACCCTGTTTGCTGCTGATTGTTATCACACTCACTGTTCATTACACCTCTAAGTTTGGTATCATTGAAAATGTATAAATTTTACCTCATGACAAAACTAACTCATTTATATACCAGTCAAAAATGGGTGTAGTCTTAACACCAACACTCTGAGAACACAGGCATCTACAATGTTCAAGTCTGCAAATCAATGTATCATAGGTCAGGCATGCTCAACTCAGACAGAGGAAGTTCTGAGGAAGGGTCACCGGACCCGAAACGTTAACACTGTTTTCTCCTCCACAGATGCTGCCAGACCTGCTGAGCTTTTCCAGCTACTTTGTTTTTGTTCCTGATTTACAGCATCCACAGTTCTTTTGGTTTTTATGCTCAACTCAGAGCTCAGTACTTTCACAGACAATTATAAAAATATTAATTATTCCATCACAGAATCCTTACGGCATTTAGCTATATGTAAATGAAATTCTAAACAACCAGGCACTAGAAACAGGTTTTAATGTATAAATTTTTAAGCTACAAAATAGACTTTACAATTTTTTTGACATGTAGTTTGAATTTAAAATGTTTTATGATTTGGCACAGTCCCTGCATTGTCCATCAACTCCTCACACCAAAGCCTCTAACCTGAGCAGAATTGAACAGTGTGTTAACCTACTTTAATGCATTCACTCTGCCTTGCAAACAGTTAATGAGCAACAGTGATGAAATGCTTGAAAGGGAGACGATTGCAATGCTAGGAGAGAAATAAAACAGTAACCTAAGTTTACAATCAAAGAGTCAGTACAGGCAATGATGGGCAAAATGGCTCCTTCTGTGCTGTGTGATTCTATGTCTGGGGTTCCACATCTCTTGATTCTCCTCTGAGCCAGACAAATAGCAGTGCGTAACAACTGAGAAAAAGGACTGAATGATTTTCAAATTGGAACCGTCATTCCCATGACACATGAAGGGAGAATTTTTTTTTTCAAAATACATACTGTTCATTTTTTTAAGCAGACTTAAGGGACCACTACTAAAAAGAGAATGGGCCAGTTGGCTACTTCAAGAAATTTCCAGCAATTATCAGGACAAAAAAACTAATTCCTCTCTGGAATGTTACACCTCCCAATTTTATAAACACTCGTACATAAAAATGCCAGACCAAAGTGTGACTGCCTCAGTCAGTTCTGAACAAAGAAAACTACTGAAATCTATTGTGGCTGAAGTCCTTCTCAAAACTCCACAATTATCTCTTACAATTTACAATGGTTTTTGATGAGACACATGAAACTGCCTTGTTAAGTTGAACGGCTGTTGCATGACTGAAACTTCTAGTTTATGAACACACTTGATTATACAACTGAACTGTTTTCTTAGACTGCTTTTTAAGACCAGAGCACATGACAAATAGTTCAGCCAAAGCTTGCCTCAAGCATTGACCTCTCTTGAAACATCAATTTTACCCAAAATGTGACCTACTTTCCAGTCTGCAAGAATCATATTGTTACAGTTTCAACTGCTGCCACCTGTATCCAAGCTCCTGTAAAAAGAAATTCTGCCAGACCCTGCACTGGATATTGACTAACTAGACTCCGATTCACATCAATTAATGTCCATCTCTTTAAGAAAAGAGAGTTTTGCAATTGTTAGTTATTTTCTTGTTTTTCTTCTTTATACGCTTGGGTGTGTTTGTGTTGCAAAACCATTTCCCCTGGGTTTGAATGCTTTCATAAACCATGTGATTTTTTTGCTTTTAACCTAAAAAGAATTTATTGCAGATCAATTAAAAATTGGATATCAGAGACAGAGGGTTTTCTTGAGGGGGAAGGGGAAGAGAAACAAATAACAATAATTATAGGTCACCCCCTGTTATATACTGAACAGGATCACCATGAAATAATGCAATATAACTCTTCCTTTTGTCTGTGACAAGGACAAAAGTATAAGATAAATTTTAAAAAACAAAAAAATTGTGGATACTGGAAATCTGAAACAAAAACAGAAACTGCTGGGAAATCTCAGTAGGTCTCGCAGAACCTGTGGAGAGACAAGGGCAGCAAATAAACGGGAATACCACCATCTTCAAGTTACCCTCCAAACCACTCACGATGCTCACTTGGAAATATATCACTGTTTCTTCACTGTCGCTGGGTCAAAATTCCAGAATTCCTTCCCAAAGGGTATTGTGGGTCAACCCACAGCTGGAGGACTGCAGTGGTTCAAGAAGGCAGCTCACCACCAACTTTTCAAGGGCAACTAGGGAGGGGCAATAAATGCTGGCCAGCCAGTGACGCCCACATCCCACAAATGAATAAATAAGAAAGAAGTTAACATTTCGGGTCCGGTGACACTTCTTCAGAACTGATGGTAGCTAAGAATGTGATAGTTTTTATACATAAGATAGGGTGGGGGGAGGCGGGACATTAAACAGTAGGTGGAAATAGAGCCCAAAGAGGAGCAGACAAAGGAGTGGTTAAAGGTCAGTGGGGGGAATGAATAATGGGGACTATTATGTGGCTGACAATGGGTAGTATATGGTAGCAGCCCATATGATGACAAGGCTTGGTGTGTGGGGGTGGGGGAAAGCATGGGGAAAGATGCACAAGCCATAAAATTGTTGAACTCAACATTGAGTCCAGAAGGCTGCAGGGCTCCTGAGTGGAAAATGAGGTGCTGTTCTTCCAGCATGTACTGAGCTTCACTGGAGCACTGCAGCAAGACTGAGACAGAGATGTTGGCCAGGGAACATGGTGGCAAGCAACTGGAAGCTCAGGGAAATGAAACTGGGTGCCAGCTTCACAGGACATCTATGATCTGTCCACGAAAAGATCCGGACTTTCCAGTTGCTCTGAATGTGGATCATTAGCTGCCATTTCTTCCACATCCAGTGGGATGTCATCACCAGGCACATATTCCCCTCCCCTCCCTTGTCAGCCTTCTACAAGGACTGATCCCTCTGCGACACTATCGTTCACTCCTTCACTGCCAACACCCCCTCACAGCCCTACGGCACCTTCCCCTGCAACCGCAGAAGGTGCAACACCTTCCTTTTTACTTCCTCCCTCCTCAGTATCCAAATGTCCAAACATACCTTCCAGATGAAGCAGCACTTTACCTGCACTTCCCACAATCTAGTCTACTGCATTTGCTGCTCACAATGTGGTCTCCTCTACAGTGGGGAAATGAAGTGTAGACTGGGTGACTATTTTGTGGAACACCCTCATTCTGTTCGCAAAGAAGACCCTGAGCTTCCAGTTGCCTGCCACTTCAACACAACACTGTGTTCCCTGGCCAACATCTGTGTGTCTGGCTTGCTGCAGTGCTCCAGCGAAGCCCAGCACAAGCTGGAAGAACAGCATTTCATTTTCCGCTTGGGAACTCTACAGCCTTCTGGACTCAATATCGAGTTCAACACTTTTAGGGTTTGAGGCACCATCTCTCATGTCCTTACTGCCCTCACACACACACAGACAGACAGACAGACAAGTGCACACATGTGCTCACGCGTGCACACGCACACACACACCCCCGCCCACCTACCACAGTCCACATTAGCAGCTATTCATTCTCGACTGTTATCCATTTCTTTCTCTGTCCAACTGTCCTTTCTTGTATTTAGGCTCTATCTCCACCTATCGTTTACTCCTTATCCCTCACCCCACCCTATCTTCTGCATAAAAACCAACTTTTTCCTAGCTGCCATCAGTTCTGATGAAGGGTTTGTTCAATGGTTTTTCTCTCTCTTTGGGCTCTATCTCCACCTATTGTTTACTGTCTCCCCCTGCCCCCACGCTATCTTCTGTATAAAATCCATCCTTTTCCTAGCCACCATAAATTCTGAGGTGTCACCGGACCCAAAAGTTAATCTGATTTCTCACTACAAATGCTGCCAGACCTGCTGAGATTTTCCAGAAATTTCTATTTCAAGATTGCTGGTTGATACATACTCATGTTTATAACTCCTCTACAAATACTCATAACTTCAGACCATTATAACATAGCCTTAAGGCAAAGGTTATATTGAAATGCCTGAATTGACTTGCAAAATGACTGCCATATTATAACCACAACAGTTTTGTCCACAAAATCTACATTACCATGAAATAAAATGAGTGAGTCCAGTTAAAGTACTATCACAGGGAATGGAGAAAATAATGATCCTTCTAGACCACTAATTGACAAATCATTTATCTCAAAACAAGAGCAGAACAAAACTGAGAGTCACAAACATTGGTCTTTATTCTGAGCACCAGTACAATTCAGCAATATATTGCTATACCTCACTAGGGTGGTGCTCTGGAAATCAAGCTCCATTATTCCCAGGGGCATTACAAAAGTTAAAACATTTTATCAAACTACGAAAAGTCCCTAATTTACCTGTCTGATAGGCTGAGGTTAACAGAAAACACAGGCCACTTTTCTGCACTCAACAGGAACTACTATTTATCATAAATAAATAAATAAATTCTATCCACAGATAAACAACTTTGAACTGTCAACACTAAACTCTACTGGTTAAAACAGTAAGATACAAACAGACAAAAAACATTGCTGTTCCAGATGGAGGAGTAAGTATGTTGGGAATCAGTAATATGTCCTATATTCCATATTAAAGTCCTTTAATTCTCTGAGCTTTTTCTTTGGATTCTTTCATTTCTTCACAGAAGGCATAGAACAACTGGGTCACAAATTATCTGACTTGTTGGTTAAAAGGAACAACCAACAGGAATTAATGAGAGAAAACAACTGGTTTTCTTTAGCTTCTGCTACTTTACTGGAGACAGAGAGACAGAGAGAGAGAGAGAGAGAGAAAGAGAGACGACCTTGCTTTCTGGAGATGTGAGGGCTTCTCACTGTATCATTCACACCTACAAGATGGCAGTGTTTTAGTGGTGTAACTAGTAGAACAGAAAAGGGAGAACCAGTGGATGTGGTGTATTTGGATTTTCCGAAGACTTTTGCTAGGTCCTACATGGGAGGTTAGTGGGCAAAATGAAATAACATTAGATTAGGGTCAGTTAGCTAAGTTGGCTGGAGAGCTGGTTTGCAATGTACAGTGATGCTAAAAGCAAGAGTTCAATTCCTACACCAGCTAAGCTTAGCATGAATGATCCTCCTTCTCAACCTCTCTCCTTGCCTGAGAAATGGTGATGCTCAGGTTAAACTACTACCAGTGGCCTTTCTTGAATGAGAGAGCGGCCCTATGTCTGGTAAGAATATAGAGACTTTACCTTTGATAGCACAAAGTAAAAAAAATTCTGCTACTTCTATCAACACTATTTACCAAAATATGTATAGATATTTAAAAATCTGTTGATTTTAAACAATGCAATGATATTGACATTTTCACTGTAAGTGGGCTGAACACAGTCACCTTGGCTCCATATCTCAGCTGAGGGCCAAGCAAGGTCAGAAATGGCAAAGTCACTTTAGATGCCCTTAAAGAATATAGAATTATATGAATTTAGGGAGTAGTATCAAAGTTAAAATTGAAAAACTGATAATAGTTTTGCCCCAAACCAAATAAGGTTCATTGTTAGTTGATTCTATATTAGCTTAAGATTTAAGAAAGTATTTTGATTGATTTAGCAGTTCCACATTAGCAGCAGCTGTGTTTTTCAACATTGTGATGGTTGGACAACAGTGGGATATGGAAAATCAGCAGTCCTTTCTAAATTGAATCAGAGATAGTAGGAACTGCAGATGCTGGTGAATCCGAGACAACAAGGTGCAGGGCTGGATGAACACAGCAGGCCAAGCAGCATCATAGGAGCAGAGAGGCTGACGTTTCGGGCCTAGACCCTTCATCAGAAAAATCTTTCTAAATCCCTTCCACTGAAGACAATGAATAAGAAAAACAACCCGGTGTGACATAGGTAGACATCTTTCCCTCCCCACCCTTATCTGCTTTCCGGAGGGACCACTCTCTCCGTGACTCCCTTGTCCGCTCCACACTCCCCTCCAGCCCCACCACACCCGGCACTTTTCCCTGCAACCGCAGGAAGTGCTACACCTGCCCCCATACCTCCTCCCTCACCCCCATCCAAGGCACCAAGAAAACTTTCCACATCAAGCAGATGTTCACCTGCACATCTGCCAATGTGATATACTGCATCTGCTGTACCCATTGTGGCCTCCTCTACATCGGGGAAACCAAGCGGAGGCTCGGGGACCGCTTTGCAGAACACCTACGCTCGGTTCGCAATAAACAACTGCACCTCCCAGTCGCGAACCATTTCAACTCCCCCTCCCATTCCTCAGACGACATGTCCATCCTGGGCCTCCTGCAGTGCCACAACGATGCCACCCGAAGGTTGCAGGAACAGCAACTCATATTTTGCTTGGGAATCCTGCAGCCCAATGGTATCAATGTGGATTTCACAAGCTTCAAAATCTCCCCTCCCCCTACCACATCCCAAAACCAGTCCAGCTTGTCCCCGCCTCCCTAACCTGTTCTTCCTCCCACCTATCCCCTCCTCCCACCTCAAGCCGCACCCCCATCTCCTACCTACTAACCTCATCCCGCCCCCTTGACCTGTCCGTCCTCCCTGGACTGACCTATCCCCTCCCTAACTCCCCACCTACACTCACCTTTACTGGCTCCATCCCCGCCTCTTCGACCTGTCT